ATATATATATATATATATATATATATATATATATATATATATATATATATATATATATATATATATATATATATATATATATATATATATATATATATATATATATATATATATATATATATATATATATATATATATATATATATATATATATATATATATATATATATATATATATATATAATGGCGGATGCAGCGGTGGGATTCCTGCTGGAAAACCTCCAGCAGCTACTGGTTCACCACGTTCAGCTGATCAGAGGCGCGAAGAAAGAGGTCGAGAAGCTGGAGAGCGATCTCCAAGTCTTCAAAGACTTTCTGAATGAGTACTCCAGCAAAAAGCGGAGGAAGGACGACAGTCTGCAGACTGTCGTCCGTCAGATCCGCGATGTTGTTTACGAGGCGGAAGACGTAATCGACGCCTTCGTGACTCAAGCTGCTGTAGTCAAGTCCGAGAATTACTTCCTAAGAGCTTTTAAGGAGCCAGTGAACCTCCACAAAATCGCCAGAAAAGTCAAATCCGTACGAGCCAAGGTGACCGATATTTACGGAGGAAAAAACAGGATTGAGTTCGCCAGCTGCCTCCCTGCTGGAGTTGGAGTGCATGAAGAATCTGAGGTCACTATTTTCTTTCCCTCACTTTATTTTCTTCTTACATTGATTTCCTTTTAAAATTAATTGGGATCTGGTTATGTGTTGAAGACATCGAATTTTTAGATAAGGTTACCTTGGGTAAATTTGAGTACAAATGCAATCTTTTAGAAAAAAAAATAAAAAATAAAAATCAAAGATTGATATATGTTTTAAGGGGAAATTCAAAGATTGATATAAATTTTTGGTATTTCTTTCATATGGGCGGCCGGTTAGAGTAAGTGAATGTGTATCATTTGACCAGCTTCAGATTCCCTCCCGAACGGTTGTATGTCCAGTTAGTCACATATTAATTGCCTAGTGTGATTTACTCCTCTCGTGTAATTGCAAGGCATTACACGAAAAAAAAAGATTATAATTAGTCATTCAAGCATTTAAGGACTTTTTTTATTATTATTTTTAAAATCATTCGTCTTTTTATGTGGAAAAAACCATAACTTTTTTTCTTTTTTCTTTTTTTTTTTTTACCTTTTTTCTAGGTTTCCCTCTTGTATTTATTTAGGGGGTGTTTGCAAATGATTATTTAAAAGTAGAAGTTAATGATTGTGAGTTAAGTCAGTTTTAAGTGTTTATTTCTAAAAGTTGTAGGTGTTTGCAAATACTCTAGAAAATGAACTTAAATAGAAAAAACAGGGTTATAGATGCTTTTAAAAAAATAGCAGCAAAAGCAAAAGTTGATTTCGTAAACATCTAAAAACAAATTATGAGGAAAAAAAGCTCATATCACTTTCAAAAAGATTTTGCAAACACCACCTTAGAAAAAAACACCTATCCTCTCAATTTAACGGTAAACTAAATGGTACGATTTTAACAACTATATAGTAGTAAATCATGTAAAAAGAAATACATAATGTACCTCTTTCATATATATATATATATATATATATATATATATATATATATATATATATATATATATATATATATATATATATATATATATATATATATATATATATATATATATATATA